TTTTTGAGTCGGGAGTCTTACTCTGTTGCCCAGGCTGGAGTGGCACACTCATGACCACTGCAACCTTGACCTGCTAGGCTCAAGCGATCCTTCCACCTCAGCCTTCCAAATAGCTGAAATTACAGGCGAGCACCACCACGCCCAGCCAATTTTTTGATTTATTGTAGAAAAGAAGTCTCGCCAAGTTGCCCAGGCTGGTCTCGAACCCCCGGGCTCAGGCAGTCCTCTCGCCTCTACCTCCCAAAGTGCTGGGATTACAGGCATGAGCTCATACAATTCTTTTTTTTTTTTTTTTTTTGAGTTGGAGTCTCACTCTGTCACCCAAACTGGAGTGCAGTGGCCGCTGGGCTCCGGCGATCCTTCCACCTCAGCCTTCGAAGTAGCTGGAACTACAGGCACACGCTACCACGCCCGTCTAATTTTTGATTTATTGTAGAGATGAGGTCTCGCAAAGTTGCCAAGGCGGGTCTCAAACCTGCAGGCTCAGGCAATCCACTCACCTCAGCCTCCCAAAGCACTGGGATTACAGGCTGAGCTACCGAGCCCGGCTCATACAATTCTTAAATGGCAGAGGATTCCAACCCAGGTCAACCTAACTAGGCATGGACTCCATCTCATTCCTCTAAAACATCAGCTATTGCTTCTCCTAGAAACCATCTGGCCTCCTCCTCAAATTAGGTCTTGATTCTTCATGAGCTTGTGTCTGGTTTCTGGCCTCTCCCAAGTTGCCCTGTGAAGAAGTGAGAGCCACTATTTTGTGGCCCTCTTCTAGAACCATGAGAAGTTACTAAAATAATTGCAGTTTTCTAGTTCACTCAGTCTTGACATTTCTACAATTTTACCCTTGGTTTCTTTGGAAATTCAGTTTACTTTTCTTCATTTCTCTCTTTGGCTCTTTCTCTCTCTTTCTCTTTTTTTTTTTTTTGACTTGGCATCACTCCATCACCCAGGCAGTGGCATGCTCACACCACCCCAGCGTCGACCTGCTGGGCTCAGGTGGTCCTTCTGCGTCAGCCTACCAAGTAGCCAGAACTACAGGTGTGTGCCACCACACCCAGCTAAATTTTTGATTTATTGTAAAGATGAGGTCTCGCCAAGTTGCCCAGGCTGGTCTTGAACCCTTGGGCTCAGGAGATCCTCTCACCTTGGCCTTCCAAGGTGCTGGAATTACAGGCGTGAACCACCACACCTGGCCCTTTTCAGCTGTCTTGGTTATATCTTTCTATATACATAGCTTCTAGTTTGGATTGGTTTGAAATTATTCTTTTAAAGATTTAGTGTCTGCAGGTAACTGATGCCATTTTGGTTCGGATGGACCATGGACAAGTTCTCAACAGTTCCAAAGATTCACCACTCCTGAGTCACAAACTCTGCTTGCAGCATCATCTTATTCCTTCATATGGAGTGTTTGGGACCCTAAGTGCCACTGGGGTCCTGCTTTCTAGGATTTTCAAGAACACTATTCAAGGCAGGCTGGCTTTAAGTATCCTACTTAACCCAGTTCACTCACAGGCTGTCCCTATACCCCTGGAACTCTGAACCGCCTCATGAACATCTGTCTACTCGGTTAAGGTTGGCTTAGTGTCCATCTCTCCAGGTCAAAGACCAGCAGCCTCTGCCTAATTACAAGAGTTCTTACTCCAGCTACCCACTTCTGTCTCTCTTCAAAGGCAACAGGAGACTGGCATCATCTGGATAGTATATTTCAGTTAAATGTCTGCTCCCCAGATGTGAGTTGTAGAAAGTGCTTCTCTCATCCCTAACCAGTTCCACAGTTGTAGGAGCTGACATTAACCTGCAATGTCCCTGATAGCCTCATCACTGAGGGTATCTAAACGCCTCTAGTACCTAAATCCCTGGAGAAGTAACATGTTTTCAGATACCTGAGAATGTCTTGCCCAGAGCTGCAACCCATTAAAGCTTCTTTACAAAAGACTGGAAAAACTGTTCTGGGCTTCTCAGCCGCAGAGAAGCAGCTCTCCTTTCTCCAAGTCTAGAGTCCCATCCCCAAGAGGCTAGGGCTGCCGTCAGAGCCATTGGTGCACACAGTCCTGTACTCCAGGCTCCTCACTAATTAGCTGTGTTACTCTAGGTAACTTCAATTTTTTTCTTCTCTGTAAAATAGGGCTAATATCTCAATGAAGCTGTTGGGAAGATTTTAAGAAGATAATATGTGTAAAGGACCCAGTACCTATTAGGAGCTCAAGGTTGATGCCTTCTCTTTTTCTTTGCCGTGAACTGGAAATGAAGTCTTGGGAAAGAAGAGAGGTGTCGCAAAATGAAGTGAGCTCCAAAAAGATGTCAAAACTCCTCTCCAGCACACCCTTCCCTAATGGCTGGCACCCTTTGCGACTCAAGCTTCAGAACTTCTCCCCAAGCCCTGCTGTTACACTATTGTCCGCCAGGGGGAGAAAAGGCGCACGTGCCCCCGCAGGACTTTTTCCCTCGCGCGTTCACAGAGCCTAGACAGAGCGTGGCCCTGCGGGGCACCGCGGCCGTGCGCGCCCGTGAGCCTCCCGGGGCGGGGCGGAAGGGCGCACGCGCAGAAGGCTGGGCGTGACGCGGCGCCCGGCTCTGGCTTCTGTCTTCCGCGCGGATGGCGCTGCTCTGGGCCACCGGACCCGGGCTAGGGAGCAGAGGAGGGCGGCACAGGAGTGTGCAGGGGTCCTGCAGGGATTTTTTTTTCCCCCCAGCGCTAACTGTTCTTCAGAATGGACGGCCTGACTCTTTTGAGAGTTAACCATTTCCCTTCGTGAATGTTCTGAGTTCCAAAGAAACAACTTCTGCTCGAGGGACTTTGCAAAGAAAGTGGGCCGACCTCGGGGGAGACGTGCCTCGTCACTCACTAGAGGAGGCTTTGGATTGGGGTTCGCTTTGTTTGAAATTTAACAAGTACAGAAAAGTAGAAGGAAGAAAATCGGAGTAACGCATCTTTCCATCACCCCAAAGTATCCGTTGCTATTTTCTGAAGATGGATCCTCAAATGTTTATACAATAAGTATTTCTTGAACACCTACCTATACTAATCACTTAACTACTGTTAGGCTGTGAGAGAATAGAAGGAAAGAATGATAATCAGGCAACAGGATTTTTAAAAATCTGTGCAAATGAGTACACGTGAGAGTGTCTTTAAGGGACAATACCATAGCAAATACCAGAGAATCACTAAGAAAGATTTTGGACAAGAAAACCTACAGAAATGGCTGGGTGCGATGGCTCATGCCTGTAATCCCAGCACCGAGGTGGGAGAATAGCTTGAGGCGAGGAGTTAAGACCAGTCTGGGAAACAGTGAGAGCCTGCCTGTACAAAAAATAAAAATAAAAGAATTAGCGGGGCCTGGTGATGCACACCTGTAGTACCAGCTATTTGGGAGGTCGAGGTTGCTGTCATCATGCCACTGCACTCTAGCCTGGGTGACAGAGTGTCACCCTGACTCTAAGTAAGTAAATGATTGATTGAATGAATGAATGATGGGATACGCCCATAGTCCCCAGCTACTTGGGAGACTGAGGCAGGAAGATCACTTAAGCCCAGGAATTCAAGGCTGTAGTGAGCTATGATGGCATCACTGCAGTCTGGGTGACAGAGCAAGACCCTGTATCTAAATAAAGAAAACCCACAGAAGTGAGAAACTGTGGATATGATAAGAAGGGCATTATAAACTGTATTTAAATATAATTGCACATCAGAGAATATATGAAACATTATTTAACTCAATTCTCTGATTTTGTTAACTTTTTCTTGTAGGATTTTCATTAAATTAAAAAAATCCCAAAAAACCAAAACACTTGATTGTGCAAACCCAAGGGAGAGCTCAGACCCAGGGGCCAAGCCCACAATCCCAATTTATCTCTGGCTCCAGTCCCCATCTTGTTTTTTGGTCCCCACTCTGGCCTGAAATGCCAGTGTATCCTGTGGAATGTGCAGTTCTGTGAGGAAGTCTGCCTGGGCTGCAGGCATTTAGCCACTGGCAGCCTCAAAGGGAAGACAGGTGGGGTGGAGTGAGGTCTCCACCTGCCCAGGCTCAGGAACCACAGAGGTCCACACAGTCCTTTCTGCTGCAGAACACATGGTAAATACTGGTGGGAGGGAACATGGCACTGGCACCAAGCAGGCCGTGCCACCTGCCAGCAATGCTGGCCATCCCCCACCATGCAACAGGGAGTTGGTGGCCACCTTCACGTATACAAGTATCCCAGACACAGCACCCACGATAGCACCTGAGGGGAGTTGCAGCAGCAGACTGAGCATGAGATGCCCTGCTCCAGGGCGAACCTCCCTCCCCACTTCATGTTCCTACTGTGCTCACCACAGGGACCATTCCTGCAGAGGTACACACCAGGGGCTGGCAGGGACTCAGGATTGCCAGTGCCATCAGGTAGGCTCCAAAGAGCATGCCCAGCAGAGAGAGACTGCCCAGCACTGCCAGAGACCTGCCGGGGGTGAGCAGAGACTCAGAACTGGCTGCACCAGGACCTGGACTCCACCCCTAGGTTCCACCCATCAAGGGGCTTTCGTGTAGCTGCACAGCATGCCCATGGCCAGGAAGCAGGCAAAGGGGTTGGCGACACTACTCAGCACAATGGCCAGGTGGTAGACCAGGCGCCCATAGGGCAAGCGGGCAAAGCTCTGCACAGCAGGCAGCACGCTGTGGGTCAGTGCACTGATGACAGCCAGCAGGCCCCGCAGGCAGGGACCGTGGGCTGAGAATAGCCAATGGGCTTCAGGGTCTAGGCTAGGGGTGGGGTGTCTGCCGCCTGGCTCCATGGCTCCTACAGGGCCTCTTCCCCTTTCCCCTCCTCCTCTGTTCCTGGGGTTCCCACTGGCAATCCAGGCCCTGGGCCCCCTGTGAGTACAGACGGCGGTGATGGCAACAGCAGCAGGAGACCCTGGAAGGCGGTAGCTGAAGTGACCAGAAGAGTGACCAGTGCCCAGAAGAAGGGGCCCAGAGGTGCCATTGGCGGGAGTTGGCAGGCACTCAAGATGGCCCACACCCTGCACTAGGGCCAGCACACAGGGCAGCAGGGCACTGAGGCCCTGACCCAGGAAGACCGTAAGAAGGGAGGTGGCAGGAAGGGCAAGAAAGTGACATTAGAGGCACAGTAGGCCAGCGGCAGCACCAAGGCCAGTGTTAGGAAGGTCACAGAGTGGAGCTGTCCTGTCACCGGAGCCACGTGGTGGCACAGAGGAGCCAGCAGAGCTGTGCCCACCACATTCAGCACTTGTACCACCTGGATGAGGACCCGCTCGCCCTTGCCCGAAGCCAGCCACTTCCACAGGATCACCACCAGCAGACCCAGGTTCCCCAGTGCCACAAACACAGAGAGGTATGAGGGGAGGCTCCAACCTGCAGGGGAGGAATGATGCCATGTCAGGGGCATGATGGCTAAGGACGAAGAGCTGCCACAGCCCACCTACCTGGGCAAACCTGCCCTGCTACTCTGTACCTCCCTCCCACTCACCCTCTGGAAGGTCTTTTACCACCACAGGCAGCTTCACCCAGATCCCGTTGATGGCAACCCACGAGCCCATGCCAAAGAGGGCCACCAACAGGTGGGTCAGTAGCAGAAGGCCCAGGGTGGGTGCTGCCATGCAGCCCAAGGCGGGACCCTCCAGGACAGGGCAGAGGTCATAGCCAGGTCTTTCCCTTCATGGATCCAAAGGCGCTTGGTTATTCTGGGATATGAAGACCTCTTCTAGCTTGAAGGAAACAGACAGGCACGCGGGACACCGAGGAAGAGTCAGAAGACAAGACGTTCAGACAACCAAGACCCGGGAAACTGGAGGGAGCACCGCGCAGGGGCGGGGATGGGGAGGAGGAGGAGGGGCTGAAATTTACCAAGTAGCTCCAGACCACCAGTGTCACTCTAGCAAGGCTAACACAGCAGTGCCGGCAGGTAGAGAAGCAGGAAGACAGCCTGAGGCGCCATGGCCTCAGGGGAGCAAAGAGGGAGCTGATTTTCCCACCCACGGAGGACCAGGGGTCTGAGCTGTCAAAACAACTCAGAGCTGGGCTCGGTGGCTCAGCCTGTAATCCTGCGCCTTTGGGAGGCTGAGGTGAGT